TTTTTAAACCTCCAGCTCACACATTTTCATCTTAGCTCAGGGAGGAGGGCTCCAGAACAGACTAATTTATGCAGGAGCCAAATCGCTCGCTCACAACTTGAATGCCAGTAGCTCACAAAGTAGAATTTTTGCTCACAAGACTCCACGGCTTAGAGGGAACATTGGACTGTGCGGGGGACGTAGGACTATTCGCTCCCAACCTAGGCTACCTCGCAGGGTGAGGGAAAGAAGGAGAGAACGCCGTATGCCACACTGAGCTCCTTCAGGGGCAAGGGAGGGTGAAAATGCTCTTTAGTCCCTCCTCGAGAGTAGCGTGTTTGGGAAACGGCTTTATCTGACGTATTTCCCCGCAGGAAACGCGCTCCTCTCGTAGCGTCCTCCTATGCTGTTCAGTGGACTCTTTGATTTTTTTAAAAAGAAAGAAAAAACTTCTCAAGTTGCATTCGACGTATGTGTGGCTGAACGTGTGTCTCGACCTCCACCTCGAGGTTTCGAATACAAAGTGGACCTGCGTTGCCCCTTTCTTGCAAAAAGCGTAGGCCCCGCGTGTGCACTATATGGCGTAAAGAGGACTAATAGTTCTGCGGCTGGACACGTGGACTGCGCTCCCGTCTTCGGTGGCTTGGAACAGAAAGGGGCGTCCGATAATGATGAGGGCACGGAGGGGCCTGTGTGTGTGTGCCCCCAGGGGAAGGAAACTTGGGTTCAGGCGTTCAAACAGAAGTGTAGCTTAGAGACTGGGGGAGTGAGAAGACCCTTCTCTCTTCTCTTCTCCCTTTTCCTTGGTTATCAGACCAACGCAGCTACCCACTATCTTGTGCTTATGAGTGAGCCCTGGGGAAAGATGAGTTGCCAACTGGAAGGGGCTTTTATGAACTCAGCTGCTGCACCTCAGGGAAGCTTCTGCTGGAATGAACGTTCTTGGCTTTTAAGGTGCCACTGGAGGGCTCTTGTTGAAGTTGCTGCTGGAGACTAAGGCGACTGCTCTTCTGGTATTATAAGCAAAAGTATGAGGTATAATAATACAAAAGTTCAGCGGCACTTTAAAAACTAGTAACTTATTTTTAGATGAGCTTTCAAGGTTTACCACTCGTTTCTTTAGCTGTTATGTGAATTAGAACTCATCAAGAAGTTGAACCCTGTGTCATCCTGGCTTAAACAGAGACTTGGGTTTCCTTACTGACTACAGCCTCTAATAGCTGTGCAGAATTTAGGGTTGCCAGCTCTCAAGTAGGACCTGGAGACCAGTGTTCTCTCTAAGCTGAGTTAGTGTGAGCTAGCTCACAGTTTTTTAGCCTCTGGCTCACACATTTTTGTGTTCGCTCAGGAAGGATGGCTCCAGAGGAAACTAATTTATGCAGCAGCCAAATCTCCTGCTCACAACATTAATGCCAGTAGCTCACAAGGTAGAATTTTTGCTCACAGGGCTCCATAGCTTAGAGGGAACATTGCTGGAGACCTCCCAAAGTTACAACTGATCACTAGCCTATAGAGGCCAGCTTTCCAGAAGAAGGCTGCTTTGGAGGTTGGACTCCATGGCACTATACTCTGTTGAAGTTCCTCCCTGTGCCCCACCTTCCAGATGCTCCACGCCCACCAAAATCTCCAGAAATTTCCCAGTCAGGAGTTGGCAGCCCTAGCTGGACTCATGAAGGCCGAAGTTTGCTTTCTGTGCTGAGAGTTTAAAGATCGGGTAGCCCAAGGAACTGTTTAAGGTTCTATTGATGAGATGGACTGTAGGAGCAACTGGGGCACCTGCATCCCTTTGTACCTGAAAATAAACTGGGCCACTGCAAGTTTTAGAGTCCCAGCCTCTGGGAACTGCCCCCTGCGAGACAACATCCACTGCCCCCCCACCCCAGAGCAACAGACACAGAATATAGAAACCTGCCCTTCTTGTTACTATACAGATGTTAATATTTTTTTTGTACTCTTTTCTTTTGTCCCCCCTAAAAGAACAAATCCAAGCTCTGGAAGCGCAGCCTATCGTCCACGTAAGCTGCGGGAAGAAGCACTCCCTAGCCATTTGCAGCCACGGAAGGGTTTTCTCTTGGGGAGCCGGCACTTTTGGACAGTTGGGCACCGGAGAACTTAAAGACCGCTTGATCCCCAAGTAAGTGAGTTGATTGTAATAGCTGAGATGTGGCTGAGCCCGGACGATTGCTGGGCATCATCCAGGGAAGGACGCATCCCAATATATATTCAGCCAGGACCACTGCAAGAAGCCTTGAAAGCTTGCCCTTGCTATCCATCCGCCTTCAGTTATGTTTGCAAGCAGCCCAGCTCTACCTGTTGAACCTTGAAGGCTCTTTGCAGGCAAGAAGAGTTGAACAGGGATTAGAAGTCCTACTTGGAGGGAACGAGCAATGCTGGCTGGCGGTTTCTCTTCTGTTTTATCTCCAGCCCTCTCCTTCTTTTGGCAGCTAATCTTCCTATAGCAGTTGGGGACGGGTAGGGGAGATTAGCTTCAGGGAAGGGGAGAGAGAAAGAAATGCTACTGGCAAGTGTGATGGTGTGAATGCTAACCACCCAGCCAGCTATAGTATGGTTAGGTAGGGTCTGTCAAGGGAGGAGCTGAAGTTAAGTTGATGGACTAAAATGAAGTTTTAGTCCAGGGGCACCTTTATGACCAGCAAAGTTTTGTGCTAGGTGCAGGCCCATAGCTACAGTGGGGCATTACCACGCGGGCCTCCTCACTTCCCAACCAGCCAGTCTATTTTATTTTTCATGTCTGCCACAGCCACGCTAAGCTGTGCCGTCACCCTGCACTGCTTGCCAGCAGAGTGCCTCTGGCTGGCTGTGGGTGAGGCATGCCGCAAGGCGTGTCTGACCCCTACTCCAGCCCTCTCTCATCCCTTTTTTTTAAAAAAAACTTTTACTCTTTCATCGCTCCTGACACAGGGCCCCCCGACTTATTTAAATGCCCCCCGAAGTAAAAAAATCCTGGCTACAGCTTGTCTAAGAAGAAGAGATTGGATTTATACCCTGCCCTTCACTACCCAAGGGGGTCTCAGAGCGGCTTACAAACTCCTTCCCCTTCCCCTCCCCACAACAGACACCCTGTGAGGCAGGTGGGGCTGAGAGAGTTCTGACAGAAACTGCTCTTTTTCAAGGACAGCTCTTATCAGAACTATGGCTTGCCCAAGGTCATCCAGCCAGGTGCAAGTGGAGGAGTGGGGAATCAAACCCGGTTCTCCCAGATTAGAGTCCGCGCACTTAACCACTACACCAAACTGGCTCTAGGTATAAGCTTTTGTGTACATGCACACTTCTTCAGATTCCGCTTGGTGTCTGAAGAAAGCTTATACCCAGTATTAAACTTTCTTGCCCTTAAAGGTGCCACTGGACTCAAACTTTGCTCTGTTGCTTCAGACCAACAGGGCTACCCACCTGAATTTATTAACTAGAGTTAGTCTTGAATACTGTTCTGCAGGGTGTATGAATGCATTTGTCTTGGCTCGTTCCTCAGCTATGGGGTGAAACCACCATTGGACAAGGCCCTGCAGGATTGTAGTGATCACCAGCCACAGAAGCCTGGTATTCAAACTAGCCTTACCTGGAGTAAACCATGGGTTGGGGTGGTATCTCAGCCAAGGTGCTTCTCTCGCCTGAAGTTTACGCCTGTCCTTCTGCCGTTGCACAGCCTATGTAAGACGGAGCTGTTCCAGAGGGCTTTTCTGTAAAGGGCTGTTAGCAGCCTGACTAGCCCAATTTAGCCAGAGCTCAGAAGCTAACCCAGATCATCTCTGGTTAGTACTTGGATGGGAGACCACCAAGGAAGACTGTGGGTTGCTATGCAGAGGAAGGCAATGGCCAGCCACCTCCGCTCATCTCCTGCTTGGAATGCTCTGTGGATGGGGTTGCCATAAGTCGTGACCCGACCGCACATTATTTGTTAATGTGTGTGTTACCTGCTGTAAAGCCGTTTCCAGCTTATGATGACCCTGTGAATGAATCACTAGGGATGGGTGTGAACCAGCTCACGGGCCAAAATTTGACTTGAACTTGGGGTGGTTTGGAGCTTGGGAACTGATGTTCGGGGAAGGCACTGTCTCCAAACATTTACTGGACTTTTGGTTGGTTCAGCTGTTTGGGGCCAGCCATCTAAATCTAACAGCTGAGTTGCGTGGGGTTCTGCCACTCAACTGTTAGGTTTAAATGGCTGGCTGGCAGCCACTTAACCCTTTGGTTTTGGTTTTGCTTCTCCCCTTTGACCGAACAGCTGAGTGGTGGACGTGGAACCAAAACCTGTTTAAGCCTAAGAGCTGAGCGGCAGACCTTTCTCCCAGCCACGGCGAGCTGTGGCCGGGAGAAAGGGGGAAAGGAAGTTCTTTCTCCAGGTGATCCCCCCAAGATATCCAGGTATTTCCCAACCCAGTGCTGGCAACCATAATAGTTCAAGAAGGTGCTTTATGAGGGAAAAGTGACTTGTGGACTATACCACAGTGTACTGGATCTGTTTGCCGCATGTATTATCTGTTGTTGCTGTATAGTTTTGTACTTAACGGAATGCCAGTTTTTTTTATGCACTGTATCTGCAACTCAGCTTATTCAGGTTTCTGTTACTTTAGGTCTAGTATGCTGCTTATTAGAGATCTTTATCATTTTTGGCCATCAAGTCAGGCTGACGTCTGGTGACCCCTAGTGGGGCTTGAAGGCAAAGCAACATTCCTTTTTTGAGGGGGGGCGGAGGGGATTTTTTATTGCATTTTTAATAAACTACAAACTACAGTGAAAAAGTAGGAAGGGGGAACTACATCTAGGGAGAAAGGAAAGAAAACCACTAATAACTAAAACCCCAAGAATAGGAGATCATAACAGCTTATATAAGTATTAATCTTAAATTGCTAGTATTACTTTGAACATAGTCGGTTATGCTAAATTATTTATCTTTTATCCATTAATTTAACTGTTTAAAGAGAAACCCAAGAGCATCATCCATAATAAAAACAGAATTTTAAGGCACAATTCAGAGTCCTTCAGCCTTCACTTTGTTTTATCTTTTCTAATCCTCAATTGATATGCAAGTTTGGGTGCAGCCGCTCCCTTATCGGAAATAGAGTCCTCATCGGAAGACCCCGAGTCATCTTCTTCCTTGGAGTCCTTGGCTTTCTCTCCCAGCTGCACTCTCAGGAACTCACGTGCTTTAAAGCAAAGCGACATTCCAAGGTGGCTTGCCATCGCCTCCCTTTGCGTCACAACCAGTGCTCTCTCTAAGCTGTAGAGTCTTGCAAGCAAAGATTCTACTTGATGAGCGACTGGCATCAAAGTTGTGAGCCAGTGATTTGGCTGCTGCGTAGATTAGTTTGCTCTGGAGCCCTCCTTCCTGAGCAGAGACAAAAATGTGTGAGCCAGAAGCTAAAAAACTGAGCTAGCTCACACTGACTCAGCTTAGAGGGAACACTGGTCACAACCCTGGTATTCCTTGGAGTTCACCCTTCCAAATGCTAGCCAGGTGCCGGCCCTTCTGAGATGTGACAAGACTAGACTTGCCGGGCTATCCAGGTCAGGGTGCTTATTAGATATCTTATAATATTGATCGTATCGCCCTGTGCCATATTATAATCTGCTTTGAGTCTCAGTGAGAAAGGCAGACTCGAAACGTAGTTAGCAAGTCAGTAGCCCTTGTGGACAAAATGGGCAAGATGAGAGCTGACTTGCAGGCTGTTGTGAAAATTACTTTAGGGTTGAGGCGTGCTAAGGGTGCAGCCCTCAGCATTTATGAAAAACCAGCCTGTATTTAAAGGGCTGGCAGTCTCCACCCCATCCTTTTTTAAAAAAAAGATGAAATCCTTAACGCTTGCTTGCTTTCTTCTGTACAGGAAAATAGAGGGCTTATCTACATGCAAAATCATACAGGTGGCCTGTGGACACTACCACTCAATAGTCCTGACAAAAGGTAACCCTTTGTTTCATTAGACTGTTATAAACAGCGCTTGTTTCATCATATAGTTTGCATAAACGGGATGGCTGTCCATCACTGTAGCTCTAATGCTGCAGATGTCAAAGTGTGCACTGGGAAATCCTAGCTGTTACAGTTGTGACCTCTGATCTTTCTCTCTCTGTCCCCGACTTCTTCCTCCTGAAACCAAGATGGCAGAGTCTTCTCCTGGGGGCAGAACAGCTACGGCCAGCTGGGAATCGGTAAAGAAGTCTCTTCCCATGGTCAGCCGCAGCATGTTTCTGCTCTGGACGGCATCCCGTTGGCCCAGGTGGCTGCAGGCGGGGCACACAGTTTTGCCCTCTCCCTTTTGGGAATTGTATACGGATGGGGAAGAGACAGTGCACATCAGCTGGGTCTAAGTCAGAGTGACCCCAGAGGTATGGCTGCCTTTGAATTCCTCTTGGGTACGTTCCCACTTTGAATGGCTTCCGGTAGAGTCTTGAAGTGTTAAGTAGGAATACCCGAATCTTGGCTCAACTTGCAAACAGCGACCTTTCCACCTGTAACCATTTCCAACCAAAAAAAGCCCGAGTTAAATTTTGAAAAATTGTTAAAGTCTTCCAAATGTTCTTGTTCGGGCTTTGCTCTGAATTAGTGGCATTTTGTGTTTCAAAACCCAGGAGGCTGGTTTGAAATTTGCCGAAACAGCAAATGGGTTGTTATAACAAAAGGACTGCTTGTTGTTGACACCTAAGAACCTGTGACTGCAGTTCTGTGCAGAGTCTTGAAGTGAGAAGCCTCAGTACTTAAGAACAGAAGAGACGCCAATGTTGGATCAGGCCAAAGGCCCATCTAGTCCAACACTCCGTCACACAGTGGCCAAAAATACCAGGTGCCATCAGGAGGTCCACCAGTGGGGCCAGGACATTAGAAGCCCTCCCACTGTTGGCCCCCCCCAAGCACCAAGAAGACAGAGCATCACTTGCCCCAGAGTCCCTATCTATACCTTGTGGCTAATAGCCACTGATGGACCTCTGCTCCATATGCCTATCTAATTCCCTTTTGAAGCTAGAATGATCTTCTTTGGTTCTCCAACAGAGCAGGTCTTCAAGCCACGCTCGGTGGGTGCTCTAAGGAACCTTGACGTGATCTACATTAGCTGTGGGGCTGAGCACACGGCTGTCCTCACCCAGGTACACTTAACTTTTTAGATTGCTAGGATCTGATTGTGCACAAAACCAAGGGAGTGGAACCTCAGAATGTCAGGCATCTGAAGTGTTCGGACCAGGTAATTCCATGGCCCACACAGTCCCAGCCTGACTTCTTAGGGCTTTTGGCAAAGATGGGTGGAACGAAAAAACTGAGAAGCTTATTATTGAGCATGAATCGTGCACCTGTGTAGCTGTGGTTTGTTCAAACTCAAACAGAATGGCAGCGTCTTCACATTCGGCGATGACTCCGCTGGACAACTGGGGAGTAGCTCTTCTGCCCAGGAAAGAGGCCCTCAAAAGGTTGACCTGATTGACGGGCCGGTTTCCCATCTGGCATGTGGAAGGTATGTACTTCAGCTTGTATCTGGTGGTCTTTTTGTAAGGGAGTGGGAAAGTGTGCAAGAAGCAGTGGAGGTAATTCTGTGTCTTCCACCAGAGTGGGCTGGGAAGTGAAAACAGCCTTGCAGCAACCCAAGCTGTTTGGCCTCAGCCACGCTGCAAACCAGTGTGGCTGCTCTGCTCAGCACTACTAGCAGTAGGCGTTTCCTCCCCCACTGCATCTTTTTGCAAACTGGCACCAATGGGAGAGCAGAGGCAAGTTGTTAGCTGCCTCCAATTGCCCTGGCCAGTGAAGGCTCTGAGCCAAGCAGCTTCTGAGCCAGTGGCAGAGTTGCTGGGGGCCTCTGAGGGCCCTCTAGGGCAGTGCACTAGGAAATTTCTCTGTAACATAAAAAGGCAATACTGTCCTTTGTCACTCCATGCTAGATGTACAAAATCCGGTGCTTGCACCTGGGAGAATATATTTCTGCTGTGAGTGGTTTGTCTGTAGGAACCTTGGCTGGCAAGCAGGCTGTGCATCTTGGAAGTAAAAAAATGTAGTCACTCACCCTCTGTGCAAACCTGACTTCTGCAAGCCCATTAAATTAGGGATGCCTGCGTCCTTGAAAGCAATGATCAGGCTTCACTGAAGATTACCCCTAGGCAGCCTTGCTGGTTTTTCTGAAGTGAGTAGCAGCTGCCACCAACTGCGAACCATCCCTGCCTCTGCCATTGCAACAAGAAAGCACAAAAGAGTGTGGCCACCCTAGTGCTGGGCTTTGCTGAATAAAGGAACTGCGCTGTGGAGTCTGTACACTTCCCTCTATCAAGGCATTGAGCAGATGGGGTTTGCACACGAAGATGGTCTGGTGAAAGAAAAATACAATATGTGGCGCGTTAGTGGAACTGCCGTTTAATCAACATTTAGACCAAGGTGGGTAGCCGTGTTGGTCTGAAGCAACCGAACAAAGTCAGAGTCCAGGGCCATCTTTTGAGACGACAAAGTTTAATTCAAGGTGGGAGCTTTCGTGAGCACGCACGAAATTAAATCCTTAATCAATTTTAGTTGGTTTTCCCCCTACTTAACCCGTTATTTGTTAGTGTTCTGTTGCGCTTTTGGTGGGTGAAGCCCTGCCTGAAACAGGGGGATAGGGAGGGAGGAAGAAGATCAGCAGTGCATGCATAAGAGGAGACAGGCCAGAAAGGCTAAACCAGGGCTATTTTTGGGCAGGAACGCACAGGAACGGAGTTCTGGCTGGCTCCCAAGTTGGCCACGCCCAGCAGGAACTCATTAGCATAATAGGCCACACCCAACAGCAGGAACTCATTAGGACTGGGTACATTAGGGGTGTGTGGCCTAACATGCAAAGGAGTTCCTGCTACAAAAAAGCCCTGGGTTTTGACAACAAACAAGGTAAACAGAATAACAAGCAAAAGGTGGGTGTGGCTGGATGACCACACTTCTGGTAACATGGGGGTGTGGCCTAATGTGCTAATGAGCTGTGCTGTCAGGGGTGTGGCCCAATATGCTAATGAGTTCCTGTTGTTGGGTGTGGACTATTATGCTAATGAGTTCCTGCTGGGCTTTTTCTACAAAAAGAGCCCTGTGCAGCTAAACCCTCATCTGCAGATCATCCCAGCCCCAGTGGCACCTGCCCACTTATGCAGAAGCTTTGTTAACCTCATTCTCTCTCCTCACCTGGGGAAGGAAATGGTACCCCCAAGAGCATCACAGGATGGTATCCTGGGGATCTCCTGGCTAATAAGTTCCTTGAAAGAGGGAGGGGTCCTATGGGGGGGGGTGAACGGAGATTCTATTTTCACACAGCTCTTTTTTCTTTTCCCCCACAGCTATCACACTCTTGCCTACATCTCTGTTTCCGGCAAGCTGATCTCTTTAGGACGGGGACGCAGCGAATGTGGAACAGCATCTTGCGAGCAGGCTGAGACGCAGAGCTTTAACATTAGTGCACTAATTTCTCCTAATGGTATCCTTTTCCTCCTTGAACGTGTTTCTCTCAAACCCCCCCCCCCAGTAACTGGATTTTATTTTCACATTCAAGTTTAGTCCTCCCTATCATTTCCTTCAGTCTGACTACTGCTACTATGCATTATCAAAACGTTCTGTACATATTTGAAATGAACCAAAGGGTGGAAATCCTGATCTTTAAATACTGAACAAGCATTTTGAGCACGTTCTTGGCAAAACATTCTGGACAACATTAATCGGACTCTGCAGGGAAAGCTTTGAGCATTTATTAAAAAAAGGAAAGCCAGATATTAATAAGCATACAGGACTGACACTGGGGTTGGGGAGGAAGGAACCATTTAAGCTTGTTGCTTACAGAGTCTGTCTCCACTGCCAGAGTGCTTGAATAATCTTCTGATCCCCTGTCCTGAAACGATGCTTAATGTAATCCACAAACCTGGCTTCCACTCGAGGAAGAATATTCCTTTTGTACTTGTGCCTGTATTGTCGCTTTCATCTCCTCCAGAGAAAAGGGTTTTGCTGATCTTGGAGTTTGTGGTTTCTTCTCCCTATGAGATTCTGGTGTTTTTGATTCAGCTGGTGTCACTGTCTTAATCTTTTTCCATTCTGGTTTGATTCTTGGTCTGTGTTTTGAAGAAGAATCGTCGGCCAATTTTGTTTTGCATTTTTTTTTTTGCTGGAGTCTTCATTTCCTCTTCATCCTTCTCATCCTTGCCATCATCGCTTGCTCTGACAGTTTTGCTTTTTCCTGTGGAGCTTTGCTGAATGCCACATTGGGGGGGGGCTCTTTGCTGAAGGGTTCACAACTTTCTCTTCTTCCTCATCTTCAGTTCCTGGCTCTTCATCTAATGGCATAAGATGTTGACCACTGGCATAGACAGGCCCAGAGCCACATTCCAACTGCAGAATTAACAGGTGGTGTCATTCCAAAGCGTCCTGATGAAACTGTGGGCTGCAGTGACTTTTCCAAGGATGTCTCTGTGACTGTAATCTGGTTGCCTTCATAGTCCGATGCTTCTGCTTCAGCAACATGCAACTCATCTTTAGCAGCAGCCCCTAAACTGACTGTTCTTAATGACAGCTGATGGTCATTTTCTGCATCATTTCACCTTGAAGTGATACTCCTTGTCTGCCTTTAGTTCTCAACCGAAGAGGAAAGTCCGCCACTGAGAAGTCCACAACCACAGGGAGCCCCTATTCTCTATGTCCATACTACTGTCCTCCATTTTGCTGCTGTTCTTTGCGGAGGTCTCCTCTCACCTTCTCTTCAGCAAGACTCATGGGGAGGGAATGATATGTGAACCTACCACACAACACACTCGCAACGGATGGAATAATGAACCAAGAGGAAGCCTCATTCAACATGTTTTAATTAAGGGGGTGCATTCAGAAATACCTGAGCCGAAAACATACCTGAAAAATTACCTTATTACTATTTTTGCCATCCTGATGATACCTGGGATTTGTTTGAAAACCCAAAAAATCCAGGAAAAATCCCAGATATATCTGGGATTTTCTGGGCAAATTGGGAGCCGGCGTCTTGGGTTTTCTCTGGGCCTCCTTGCTGCTCTTGTCAGTTTCAAACTAGTCCCCCCCCCCCTTTGCCTGGCTTTTAAAATGTATTTTATACTTTAAATTATAATTTAAAATTTATTTATTTTATACTTTATTTTATTTATTTTATACTTTAAATTACTTAATATACCAGAATTGCCTAATCCCCATATGCACAGGGCTCTGAGTGATGTGCAACAATAGTTAAAACATCAGACAGAAGACAGAATTAAAATTAGGTGGGGTAAAAAGGAGGCAGAGATGGAAGAGGATGGAAGAAAAAAGGGAGGGGGTCAGCCGTGATGGAGAACCATTGCTGTCCTCAACTAAAAGCCTGGTGGAACATCTCTTGTGACTCTGCTTTGAAATAAGTTCTTTTTAATCTTGCAGTGTCACAGTAGCATTGGATTTTGCTGGCATTCTGTACACTAAATTGGTTGTGCTGGGTTTGAAAAAAAATGTCCCCCCTTCAGTTTTTGTACTTTAACTTGTTGTGCTGGGCTTGAAAAAAATCCCCCTCTTGCTTGGATTTCTTTTGACTTTGCTTTGATATCAATCCTTTCAAGCTTGTAGTGGCACAGTGGCATTGGGTTCTGCTGGGCATTCTTTACACTGAACTAGTTGTGCTGGACTTGAAAGAAATGCCCCCCCTTCAGTTGGTACTGCAGGGGTACCCTGGTTTGACATTAGTCCTCTTTGGCTTGCATTGCCACAGTCGCACTGGGATCTGATGGGCATTCTGTACACTGAATTGGTTGTGCTGGGCTTGATAAAATGTCCTCCCCTTCAGTTTGTACTGCAAGGATTCTCTGATTTGATATTAGTCCTCTTTTGCTTGCATTGGCACAATGGCACTGGGTTCTGCTGGGCATTAATACTTTGTACTGGTTCTGCTGGGCTTCCAATCCCCCCCGCCACTTAGATTGTGATTCAGAGCTTCACATCAATCTTATTGAGCTGGCATTGGCACAATGGCTGTGGGTTCTGCTGGGCTTGCAACATCCCCTTGTTTGTATTTGTTGTGGAACTGGCCTTGCCACAGGGCACTGGGATTTGCTGGCTGGGCACTACATTGCACTGGTTCTTCTGGGCTTGCAAAAAAAACCCCTTATATTGTGACTCTGTGCTTGACATCCAGTCCTGTTGAGCTGGCATTGCTATGATGGCACTGGGTTCTGCTGGGCACTCTATACATTGCACTGGTTCTGCTGGGCTTGCAAAAATGCCCCACTTCAGTTTCTACCATAGAGAGTCTCTGGAACTTTGATTCTGTTCTGTTGGGCTTCTATTGCCCTTGCTTTTGTTGCTATTTCTTGCTCCATTGAAAATGATGGAGGATGGGGGTTATGGAACTAGACCCCCTTGGTCAAATCTTTTTGAAACTTGGGTTGGGGGTTCTTCTGAGGAAAGGCACCAGGAGCTATGCTGCAAATTTGGTGTCTCTACCTCAAAAATTATATCCCCAAATAAGTTCCCCACTGATTATAATGGTCCCCATAGGCATAGGGTATAACGGAGCCAAGAAAAATCCAGGATTCCGGAAGAATCCTGAATCTGAATACCGTGCTGGTATTGGAATTTGGGAATACTGATATTTTCCAGGTCCAATATACAAGAATATGGGGAAAAAGCAACCTGATTTTTTGTACACTCCCCTAGTTTTAATCTTGCATGGAAAGGGTTGGATCCAGCATAAAGACTGTTGATTTTTTCCCCTGCCTCCCCCCCACCCCCGGAAAGCTTATTCCTCAGTTTGCAGGACCCAAGTGGCACGCAGGTTAGTGGAACTCAGCAGTGAAAGGGGAAGGGGGAGAAATTGCTTTCTCCTATCAGCAGAACAGTGCTGAAAGAGGAGGCAGGAAGGGCAATTTTATCTCCTTCCCCCTTTTTACTGAAGTCTATTGACCCTGGTTGGCTTTGTGCCCCTGGGAATAGGCTTTCGGGGGGGGGTGTCAGAAAGGACTCCTGGGGAGAGGAGAAAACACAGTGTGCCAGTTATCAAAACAAATGAACACTGCAAATGTAATTAACAAGTCTTATATCAATGCTTTTAAATAAATATTTTAAAATAACAAACGAGTGTATAGTCTTAATATATATTCAATTAATCAAAGTTTTCTTACACCAATTCCAAAAGTATTTAATACAGGCCGAATCTGCATCTAACATTTGCTCCATTGTTGTACCAAACCCACACTGGAACAGAAACCAATGCTGTAAGCTGCCCTGAGCCTGCTTGCGGGGAGGGTGGGGTATAAATCAAAATAATAAATAAATAAACAGAAAAAGATGCGGCTCAAAACCACATTCAACTACCCCAGGCCAACACTGTACTGACTGCAGAGTCACCCCTGAGTGGCCCTAAAATGGCCATAAATCTATGCAGACAGGCACCATAAAAGCAGAGATCAAACTGAGTGAAAGCGGCATGCAGTCTGGACGCTGCCATAAAATTCGACAAAGTGAAAGTGGCATGCAGTGCAGATGGGAATTTCTGTTCGAGTGTGGGTTTGGTAAGACAGCAGAGCAAATGCTAGATGCAGATTCGGCCACAGAGTCAAAACTCCAAGCCAGAGTAACACATAAAGCTCCCAAACTCTCAAAATGCAACAGTCATGAGCTATATATCAAGGTTACAACGTAACACTACTAGTTCCGAAGTTCTCAATATGACAAATTTATATAACAGATCAACAATTGGAAGTTACAGTGACGTGTATCCTAGGCATATAAACATGTTTCTGTCTTCTTTTTCAAAGCCACATCTCCCTTCTGTTGTGGAGCTCAAAATTCAAGTCAGAACCAGTGCTCTATCAGTCCTGCTATGATGCTGCACTGAAGCACTTGATAGCCGGGAGGCTACTGGCTAAAGGAGATTTTTTTAGTGTTAGTGCCCTACATAACTCCTTCAATAACAAAACCAAAAACTGAAATAGGCAAGTTGCATAGTACTTTTTTAAGGTAAGGGTGTTAGTGCCCTACATAACTCCTTCAATAGCAAAACCAAAAACTGAAATAGGCAAGAGAGATCCTGCAAATTGTGTTTAATTTAGTTAGCATTGCTGGAGCAGAATTCAGGTTTACTGGTCACTAGAGGAAGAGTATTGCTGGCTCACATATTTGTTTTAAGGCGAAAAGGGCATTAAAAAGTTTGGACACGGAGACAGAATGTGTTATCTAATCAGACAGCTCGAAAGCATCTCTATAGAAAGTTGCACGGAGGACGTAGGCTAAAATGGAGAATGTTGCAAAAGGCTTTGGTTTCCCCACTAGGAGAAAAGTGGGGTATAAATGAAGGAACAATATTAAAATACTGGAGAAAGGGAAATCGCACATCGTAAAGAACATTTGTGTAGCACTGATGCTGTTTGTCCTTGCAGAATTGGTAGACGTTTCAATAAAACAGATTTTTGCAGGAACATACGTCAACTTTGCCATCGCTGAGGTATGTTCTGTGGACTTCAAAATGCTTTACCTGATTTGAGAAGTATTTTGTTTGTGTAGATGTGGGTTTGGCAAAGGAAGGGGGGAAATAATAATTGACCGTGATAAGAGTGAGCACAGAAACAGAATACTGGTTCAGATTTGGTCTCAGAAATCATATAGATGGCCTGAAGAGTTGCTGTTCTCTGATTCTTCTCCACCCCACCCCTTCTGCAGTGTGAGGATGATAATGTTGATATATTTTAACTGCCTTGTTGCCAGTATTGCTGAGAGTGTATGCATGAAGCAGGTTGGACCTTATGCAAATCTTTAGAAATGTGTGGTATTTTATGAATGCCGCCAATACCAGCTCCTCCTGTTTTCTAAGGGTTTATGATATGGAGGAGAGGAGATTGGATTTATACCCCGCCCTTCACTCAGTGTGGCTTACAAACTCCTTTCCCCTTCTCCTCCCCACAACAGACACCTTGTGAGGTAGGTGGGGCTGTAAGAGCTCTTTCAGAACTGCTCTTTCAAGGACAGCTCTGACAGAAGTATGGCTTGCCCAAGGTCATCCAGCAGCTGCAAATGGAGGCGTGGGGAATCAACCTCGATTCTCCCAGATTAGTCTGCACACTTATTTATTAATTTATTAGTTGGATTTATTCCCTGCCCTTCCCATCAAGGCAGGCGAGGGGTGGCTTACGCAAATGCATATATAGATACAATTAAAAACTTAACCACTACACCAAACTGGCTCTGGATAATCATCTTGTTTTACAGCCTCTCTGCGAAACAGCCCTTCCCCTTAGCCAAGTATTTAACCAATAGGGTTGCTAGCTCCCCCAGGCACACACACCCCCACTGATCAGCTGGCCAGTGGTGGGATTTACCAGGAGAGATACAAAGGCCCTGGCAAAGTGATGTGGTGACATCACTTCCAATGTGCATAGGAATTGACATCATCACGCAGATGATGCCCAGGTGAAGTTCAGGTTTTTTGGGGAAATCTCTATGGTAGAGGCCATTTTTACCATAGAGTTTTGCCCAAATACCAGAGCATCACTGAGATGTTGCAACTTGATGATGTCACTTCCTATGTATGGCAGAAGTGACATCTCCATGTCACCTGGGCCTTCCTCTCTCTCCTGGTAAGTCCCTCCCATCCCCCACTGGTTGCTAGGAGGGAGCTGGGAACCCTGTTAACCAAGCCTGTGGTCGTACACTTCTGTGCATCTGAAGACGGCTGTTACGATTCACAAGATCTCACACTGAAAATGTTGTTGGTGTTAAAGGTGCCACTGGACTCAAACTTTGTTCTACTAAGGCCGTGAGTCCCCCAACATAATGCCCGTAGGTGCAGTGGTATCCGCAGAAGTTTCTTCTGTGACAGCTGGCTGCACAGATTTGGAGACCCCTGCTTGAAGGTGCTACTGGAGTTCTGTGTCCTGAAAGCTTATGATACCGATAATCATGAAGGGTGAGTGACATTTACTCTTCTTCTCTTGTTCTCCTTTGTTTTAAAGGCCTCTAAGGACACAAGCGGAGTTTCCTCAGTAGAAGCCTTGCCGAAGATTAGCCAGCTGGACAGGGCACTGCTTGATGAATGGATGGCAGCAGAAGAAAACGAAAGTCGACAGAAGGCAGAGAGGTCTCAATGTGTTGTCATTTTATGGAGGAAAAGGAAACAGCCATAAAGCCTGTGCCCGGAGCCAAAAGTTGTTCCTACACGTCACAAACATCTACAAAGACAGTCATTGGGCACAGTTCTTGCTTTTTGCTGCACCATTGGCTCAGTGGTGGATTGCCCGTTCTGCATGCAGAAGGTCCCAGGTTCAATCACGGGTAGCTCCAGCTAAGAGCTCAACTAAACATGGCCACAGGTCCATCCCCTCTCCACCACACTGTTCTAGAAGCAGTGGTAGTTCTTAAAAAATTGGCGCAAGGCCCTGATCAGGATTGGGCAGTGTGGCTGCTCTAGGAGTTTTTGCTTCTCTCCCCACCCCGACCCCAGTGCCTGCCCAAATGCCGAGAAAGCCCCCATGGCTGTTTCTGCACCTGAAAAGGCACAGGGGCCACTGCCCACCTAATCAGATGAGGGCCTCGTGGCAATGCTTGAAGAGCTGCTTCTAAAAGGCCATCTCATTTCGTTTGCCTCTTAAGGGATCTTGGGTATTGTGATGTTAGGAAAGACCTTTCCCTGGCCGAGACTGTAGAAAACTGCTGCCGCTCCAAGTGCTGGACTGGATGTGGACTTGGTATTAGGCAGCTTCATGTGGCTAACAGTTCTAGAAGTATGATTCGAATGAAATCCAACCTTAAATCCAGTACGGACATAAACAGGCCAGCGTGTTGCTCTACATAAATGGTCTTTTCTTTTTTTTGCAGAGAAATAGCAGAGATATTTTCTTCCCCTCCTTGTTTAACGGCAAGCTTTTTAAAACCAAAGTAAGTAGTTCAGTTGTTTCTGCAGAAAAGTGGTGGCAAATGGAGGCCCTGAGTATGGGTACCATGTTGCAAGCATCCTTTCTCTACCTATTGTTGAAACTGTATCACCTTTAGGTCTGCTCTGAAAGCTGGCTGCTGTATGATGGTTGACCTACAAAAAGCAAGAGACGTATTCGATGAGCTTACCCAGAGGGACTGGATTGCTAGCAAGGTAGAGAATCTCTTTACTTGGGGCCGTGTGGTGGTGTGGATTGCGTCCAGAGAGGAACAGATTGTTTTGAGATATGGAAGTGTGTGCATTTCCTGCATCCACAGCAACACTTGCAGAATTGTGAGATCTGATACTGGATTTTGCCTCTTAAGAACTACTGTTTTTTAAAAAAATCCAATGAAATACAAGTTTCTAGCTGTTACTGATGTTGAGATGAGCATGTATGTGTGTGGTAAGTGACTGGCAAAGCTGCAGGCAGTAACATAGCCTTTATGTTTCAGCAAAAAAGTCTGTGGCAAGTTGGAGGTTAGACTCTTCATTGTAAGAGGAGTATTAAGCTATTTCTTGCCTGACACAATGTACATTTGATTAATCCTGTGTGTGTATGAATGTCTAACAGAGTAATTAGAGCCAGTTTAGTGTAGTGGTTAGGAGCGTGGACTCTAATCTAAGAGAACCGGGTTTGATTCCCCACTCCTCCACATGCAGCTGCTGGTGTGAGCTTGGGTCAGTCATAAGTTCTTTCAGAGCTGTTCTCTCAAATGCAGTTCTCAAGAGAGCTCTCTCAACCTCACCTACCTCACAGGGTGTCTGTTGTGGAGAGGAGAAGAGGAAGGGATTGTAAGCTGCTCTGAAACTCCTTTAGGTAGTGAAGGACAGGATATAAATCCAATCTCTCTTCTAATGTTGTAGAATTTTTAAATAATAGTTGGGCTTGCATTGAGCAATGCCACCAATGGCCAGGAAAACAAAATCAAAACTTCAGTTTCTGCCATTAATAGCACAGGAATAAGACTTCAGCAATATCCCAAAATCAAGAAAATACAACACTTTTCTCCGCCTTGTTATGTGTGTTGCACCTTATGCATAGCTTTAGAGAAAATGCCTTACTTTGTCAGAGGTATTCACTGTGATTCAGAAACAATTACAAGGGGAACACCACAGGCCAATTGATCTAATTAAGCCAGAGAATGGAGTTGTAAAAAAGCAATCAATCATAAGCTTCTCCATTTTTTCACTACTTCTTTGGGTCAGTTTGAACCCACTATCTGGGCAAGAACTAGAATTTGTGTTATGGAAAACGATGAGTGGGCAGAGGAGAGACGAATATGGAGGCGTGTGGGTCAAGTTACAGTAGAGAGAAACAGTTTTGCAAAGTTAAATTAGTCCTTGTAGCAGAGGGTACCTGTTACGTATCTGTGTGAGTCATTGCTCTGGGTTGGCCTCCTTCAGCTCAAGTGGCACACTCGGTTCATGCAGAAAGGCAGGAAATGGGTTTCCTTGTGGGGAGCTTATTCTCCGCCTTTTAGGTGGAAGAGTGGTGTGAGTCCAGTTTTAGTTCTAAGGAGAAGAAGCTGAGAAATACGAAAGTTCAGTTTATAATCCTTCAGGTGCTGCTGAACTCTGTTTTTAACCGGCAGCGGCTTGGGATTTAAGTGGCTTCCATAACTTTTAGACATGCTTTCTGTTTCCCTCAAGCCTACCAGAAACCATGCAGAATGAATGAAATGACCTTTTGGTGGGACAGGAGCCTTCCAGTTTCTAAGATAAGATGGGGTTTGTGCCTGAAAGTAATACCTGCTGATGCAGAAGCTGTCCTCCTTTCCCTCCTCTCTGAAGGACTGTTGTATAGAAGAGGAAGGGATTGTAAGCTGCTCTGTAGACTGTTGTGTCTACTACCAGTGAAAGGAGGCACTTTGTGTATGCTCATAAATATGCTTTTATGTCTTCTCCCCACTGCATGCTCTGGCCTGGCATAGACTAGGAACTGCTCAGCATAATGAATGGCGGTCCAATTTGCCATGGAATTTCATCTCTCTTTAATACTTTGACTCTAGAGCGAGAGGGGTGGGTGGCAAGTAGCAAACCAGTGTGCTGTTGAACTACAGGAGGGCGTGTGCATTTCTAGCTAACAATGCTGTTTTCAAAACTGATGGCAGGTCTTTCTCTGTGTACTGAACCATCTGCTCCACGACCTCCCACTGGACTCTCCTCACCAAGAGGCCTTTTCTTGCTTCCTCCTCGTACCCGAGTGCCTCGAAGCTCTTGAAGCAAAGAGCCAGCAGAGTTTGGGCAGGGCCTTTGCAGACCCCGTCTCCAAGCTGAGCAAGCGCTCTTCAGACGTTCTAGGTAACTTTGGACAATTCTGCTCTTTTCCTTTGGGCCTGGGAGTCCTGGCTTGTGCTCACCTGTTCTGTCTCCTCCTTTCTTGTACCTTTCCATCACTGCACATGTCACGTTAGCTTAATGATGCAGCCAAACAGGCGAGTAACTGGTGGTGGAAAGTGCCATCAAGTCACAGCTGACTTATGGCAACCTCGGGGGGAATTTCAAGGCAAGAGATGTCCAGAGGTGGTCTGTCATTCCCTGCCTCCACATCACAACCCTGATGTTCCTTGGAGGTCTCCCATCCAAATACTAGCCAGGGCTGATCTCTCTTAACTTCCAGGATCCAATGAGACTGGGCTAGCCTGGACTACCCAGGGAGTAACTAGCTGTAGCTAAACACTAGCCCATATTCTCTCCCTTTTGCAAATGTGGACTCTCATGTCAGCATGTCATGTGGACTCTCAGGTCAGCATGTACAGAATCCCAATGTTCTTTGCTCCAAATTCCTGTTTGGTTTTATTATTATTTTTAGAACGTTTTTATGCTGCCTCTTTGGGAACCTGCCCGACGCTGCTTACAAAATAAAAATAAAACATGTACTGTTTGAACACATGCCGATTACCAAGATGGGGATACCCGAGAGTTTGGAATATGTTGCAGCTAACGGGTGGCTCCGCACCAGTCAATTGTGGTGCAATTACATTGAATTGTACACATAGTTGTTTTTTTAATTTTTGTTCATTTAACAACATTTGTACCCCACTTTCCTGCCCTTATAGCCAGGGCCACCCAGGTGGCTAGCAAATTAAAACACACATCGTGATGTCTTAAACTGCTGTTAAAACCAACAAACATCATTAAAACAGTAATAAAGTAATCAGTGAGGCTCCAGATGATGTAAGTGACTACCCACAGTCTCCCTGTGCTTTCCTTGCCATCCCCAGTGTTTCCAGGAGCCAAAATCTCCAGGTATTTCCCAACCCAGAGCTGGCAATATGAATGTAGCCCTGTTAAATGTGTTTGAAAAGAAGAGTTGCCAATTCCCTCTCCTCTTTTCCTTCCAGAAAAACATTGGTCGGCTTTGCCAGCTGCTTTTTTCAACAGAATAGTTCAGATGCTGAAGAAGGCTGTGGTATCCCTGCTGCCTTATTACTATGTAGCTCCCCACAGTCAGGAACTGGTCCCTGTCTTGGAAGCCCTTCAGAAACTCTACGAGGTAGACTCTGGCAAGTACTTCGGTGGGAGACCTCCAAGGAATACCAGCAGTCGGGAGGCGGGGGCAGGCTTTACTCAACCACCTCTCTGAATGTCCTCCAGGCCCCCAGTAGGGGTCAGTCACCAGAGGTCGCCATGACTTCCAGGTGCACGAACACTCACGCACACTTGTGATCATACTAAAAAAATACAAAAATAGAAAGAAATCGGACAGTCTTATGGTTCTTGGAGGAGGCCACAATTTGGTGGCAAAATGCATTGCCTAGCTCTCTCAATCCTGACAATCC